ATTCTTATTTCAATTCTTATTCCAAGAATCTCATGAACGCTTCCACACCAAAATTGGTATCAGAGCAAAGAAATTGCCTCAATCCGATGGTTGACGATGGTCCCGGTGGCAGTCGAATCATCGACGACGAACGGAGGCTCAACAAACTCGAACAACGAATAGAGGGGATCATAAAACCCTTTATAACATCACACAGATGGTGACTACTTTGAGTCTTGAAACGAATCGTGAATCCATGGAGAAGCAAGCTAACACGAGTTTGTAGACTTTAACTGCTATGAATGTTGGTTGCTTCAACAAGATTAAAATACAGCAACAAGTAGTTAGAGAGTTTCCTCAAGTCATAACTAAATTTGAATACACACAAGTTATCAAGAATTTTACGACAGTCTATCAAGAAAATATAAAAGAGTCCAATTTGAAGCTCAATAAAATTTTTAAAACACAATACACCATCAACAACAAAGTATGTAAAGTGATAATAAATCATAAAAGTAGTCAAAACTTGGTGTCCAAAGTATTGATGAAAACTTTAAATTTGAAAACTAAAAAATACTTGTCTTGCTATCAAGCTTCACAAGGGCAAGAAACTCAAAATATGGAGGTATACAAACTTTCACTTTCTCTTGGAAAGTATTACAAAGATGAGATTATATGCAACGTGGTGGAGATTGATGATTGTCATGTACTTTGGGGACAACCATGATACTATGATATAAATGCCACTTACGTAGGTCGAGATAATAGATATGTGTTTAGGTGATACGATAAAAAGATTGTTTTAGTGTTATGTGATGAATAATTTATGAATGATAAAGAGAAAAATACTTATAAGGCAGATGGTGAGGTTGAAAAAGAAGTAACTCAAGATAATCAAGATGTTACTAATCATGTTACTAAAACAGAAAAAGAAAAGCATGTGCAAGTTGAAAATTCGAGACCTATTGATTCATTGTATGTGAAAACTACAATTGGAAACTTCAAAATCGAGCGGATGAACAGGTTGAAGATCAGGAGTGTCCAATAGGAGAGGAAGATATTAAATTTTGCAATTACGAAGGAATCAAATGTGAAGATTGTGAAATTAAGAATAAAAATTTTGTCGACCTTTTCTACAACTTTAGTGTCAAAGAATCATATAAAAATGAGGAAAACATGGACAATGAAGATTTGAGTCCACGTACCAATTCTTTTGTATTGAAGAAAACATCACTAAACATTACAACAAAAGGTGAGAAGTACGAAAAATTGAAAATAACACAAGTGACATCTATCAAGAGTGAACTCAATGATGATAAATCAAATCATGCTTCGTTTATGAATGAACGTCATTTGCGAATTATCCGTTAAGAAAATATAGCATGATAGGAACAAAGTTGACTTTGAATAATGCAACTGAAGAATATCATGGGCCGTATCGAGTACATCAAGAAATAATCATTTTTTCAATATCGGTATTTGTAGAAATTTTTGGGTATTTTCCTTCAGATTGATTGATTTTTTATTCAAGAAAACTCAATGATGAATTTTATTCAAATGGAGGGGATTGATATACT